CAGCCCAGCTCCAGGTTGAGCTGTTGTTCAGCATCTTAGCTGTAGAGGGCAGTGTCACTGGCCCTCATATGTGGGATCCAAACCGGGGCCCTCTGGTCCCAAGCCAGCTCTTAACCATCGCGCCACTCAGCCGGCCGAGTGTAGTAATTTATAATTTTGCTGAGTCACAATTTTTTATCATGAGTGTGGTAGACCCCTCAAGACCCATCATGTCACAGTTCATTAAAGGGCTAAAGGAGGTTTGAAATGTTTCAGGTACATTTGACTTGATCCTAGTGGAGAAAATTATAAATCATAGTGGTTTACAGCATTGCAGGATGAACTCTCACAAACGTCAAGGGTCTACTGCAGTGGCTTCTAGCTTGCCAGAAAAAAAAAAAGTTGCTGAAACTTAATATCAAGCAATGGGCATCAGGCAAATGAACAGGTAAGTGGCCTTCCCCAGAACCAGACTAGCAACACAATCCCAGACAACATAGAGCTAATTCTGTGGCCATTGGAGCCTTGAGAAATCAAGGAGCCTGGAGGCGGAACTTCAGGTGGACCCACAAAACAGTACTCTCCAAATTCATAAGCCTCTGGAAAGAGAAATGTGCTCTTCCGTATGATGTGATATAACAGGAGAAAACAATTTAACTGTCAGCTGCCTTCCAACCCAGTTTCTCCCAGAACACAAGGTTTTACAGGTCACAAACTCCGGGGTTAAACAAACCCAGCTTTGAATTCCAACAATGCAACTAACCCATCAGCTATGTGACCTTGAGTCAATTTATTAAGTTAGGTGACTTGTTTCAACGCCTGTCTTCATAGTCAACGTGATTTGTTTAACATTTACCTCTTAAAATTGTGTAAGTCAGACAGCATCCAGAGTTCCTGTCTCTGCTCCCGGGACAGGAGCCCCGACCCCAGGAAGGGTGTGGCCCTCCCATCCGGCAGCATGGCAGCGCGCTTGCTCTCATCTGCGGCCTCCCAGGCCCCTTTGATTACACTGCCCTGGCCTCCCTCCGCTGAACTCTACAGAGAAGACCTCAACAGGCATTTTTACCGTCTTGACTTCTCTCCAAGGTCTTCAAGTCAATACTCAATGTAGGGAGTATTCATGTAGGGATTCGAATCCAGCTAAGAATTTGAGACTCTAAATGGGCAAGTGGAATTAAACTCAAGATTTTTATTTTTTGAGGTGCAACAGGCTCAGTATCAATAACCCTAGGAAGGATTCCCGTATACCAAGGTGGGACTGACAATGACATTACACTGAAGCAGTAGGTGCTGTGCAAACCACTCTTCTGATCATGGCCCTCCAGAATGTTGTCCAGCAGTGGAAACACCTGGACGTCTGTGCCCCGTTTTCCCTTCAGTGTCCCACAAAGATCAGCCTCCCAGACTGCCAAGAACTTGCCACGGGGCCAGTTTCCCACCTCTTCCCACCACCATTTCCTACCTAGTAGGAGTGAATCAGACAAACAATCTGACTTTTTAAAAATTATTTAATTTAGTAGTTTTCTTGGAAAAAAACAGTAAGGCAAAAAAACCGAAAATATATATAGTTTTGTTTTGTTTCCATGTGACTTTATTTCACCTGAAGGGCTTGACGCTTCTTCCATTAGTAGGAATCTGACCAAGGAGCAGGCTGGAAATGTAGCGTAGATGGTGGAGGAAGGGAGGGCAGGGGGATGACAAAGCAGGAAGCGCAGTTTAGTCGGGGGATTCCCACTCTGTCTAAAGCCCCGAGCATCAGGCCGTGCTTTTACGGGCCTCCTAAAAAAAGCCCTAGCACAATCCCTTGCTTATGTTGGGAATCAAATCCGGTTCTTAGGAGGAAATTCCCCAGCAGTTGCCCCCGTCTCTAGTTCATCGCAGCTGGAAAGGGGGGCGTGAAGGGAGGGCCTGAGGAGCACTCATTTGCCCAGTATAAGTCCAACTTCCCTGGAGGGCTGGCTTCCTCTGGAATGACATTGCCCCCTAGGACCTACACTGGCTGAGGCTCAGCAATTAGGGAACAGAAAAAAAAAACAACACAAATGGAAAGCATACAAGGAAGGCACCTCAGTTTGTGATCCTCAAACAAGGGTGGCTTGCAGGGGGGTGAGATTTCTAAACAAGACAACTAAAACAAAAACAGAATGAAGAACAAAGGAAGCCAGGGCCCAATGAGAGCAGTTCTCGTCCCCACCCCGTGGGACGGTGCTTTCAGCCCCATATTCTAGGAAGAAGGTTCTTTTGGGAATCAGCTGTGTGCTGTGGTTTGGACTGCGTTTGTTTCCATGTTAAACTGGAAATTACCCTCCTGACTTTCGACCCATACTCTCCCTGACGAGAGAAGGAAAAAAGGCAGGAAAGAGGTTAGGATTTCATTTCCAAGAGTCAGGTACTTAGGAGAGCAGACTTTAGACAGCAGTGGGCACTCCATGATGCAAACCATGTTCAGTAGCGGCTGGACATGATCCTGCTCAGGGTCTGAATATGTCCGGCCCTAATGGATGGAAAGCAGAGGAGGCTGCGATCCACATACGTACGTATCCAAGAGAGTCCCGGGGAGACAAGTAATATCAAAAAACAAGTTTCTTAATGGGAAGAAGGAAAATCAAACAAAAAATTAGATTTTTCTCTACATATATATAATATACAGATATTTAACACCTTATTCCATACGTGGCTCCAGTCCTTGGGGCTTGAGGGATGGTGACAACTTTAATTCCGGATGAAGTCGTTCCCTCAAATTCTGAAGTGGATCAGAACGGGATAGGTCATGTTTTGCTCCCCACTGGGGCACAGACCCCAACTGGTATTGTGCCGAGAGAGAAGAGAAGAAAGGCAATGAAGGATGGGGATGAGGAGGAGGTGGGAAAGCAAAAGTGGCCAGCAGTCTTCTTCCATCCCGCCTTATGTTCTCAGAAGTTCTCCGCCTGAGCAAAGTCCGTAAAACCCCTCTGTGAGGGTGCCGCAACCCTCCTACCAGCCACCAAAGTGGCCTCTGGTTGCTGTCAAAGAAGATGGAGAACAGCAGAAGGGAGTTTTACGTGAGTGAAGATAGAAACTTCCAAGAATGGAACGGTATTCCAACAGTACAGAACAATCCCCCTGGCAAGTGGTCCAATATGCAGCTGTCTATGCACGGACACCCCATGAAACTGACCCCGCTGGTGAACACATTTCATAACGTCAGGCCTAAGTTCCACCATAGTCTTTCACAACGCCTCTTGGTAAGGTCTTACATGCTTCTTTTCAAAGAAACTTCTAAAATCAGCTCTTGCTCTCAACAGCACCAAAAAGCCTGATTCATAATCTTGTGTAGATCTTGGCTGAGCAGGACACTAAAAGGGGAGGGTGAATGACATCATCTTAAATGGGGGCAGAGGGAGAAGGAAGGGCCAAGGATGCTTGACTTTGCAGAAGTGGAATAACTCTAACTTTCAGCCACTAAACCTCTCCCGTACAAACATAGGTATCTAGTATGTCGATTTCAGTTTCAATCAGCTAAGGCAACCAGCCAATCACCACCACTGGCATCTGCTTCTGGTGATTGATTTGGAAAAAATGATTGGTTAAGACAAACAAACTTGAGGAAAGCACTCAGTAAGATAGTCCCAAGTGCCAGCTTTCCTGCATGTCCTCTGTCCTCTTCGCCTTTGGCTCCTCCTCCTTTTCATGACTGCCAGCTCAGAAAATGTCCGGGCATGAGGTCCAGTCCTGTTTTTCTTTACACTCCCAGTATCCTCCCCTATAAACGTGGGTCAACTCCTTGGTAACAGGGTCCTTCTTCCGCTCAAACCACAGCGCCTTATAGGGGTCATAGGGTGTGCCTAAAAGGGAAAGAGGGTCAAGAAAAACAGAATCAGAGCCCAACGCACATGGGTATTCCCTACACATCAAGAAATCCACTGGAGGGCAGCTGCGTTACCATCCTCCGTGGCTTTCACAGCTTCTGCTTCTCTCTTCTTTCTGGAAAGCCTCTGCTTTTCCTCTAGGCGTTGCTTCTCGGCATTCGCTTCATCCCAGCGCCCATTTTCCATCAGTCTCTGGTCGGGCCGTAACCGGCTGTCTGTGGGGGCAGTGCCAGCTTCCGGGGCATTGAGAGTGAGAGCAAGCTCTGAGAAGTAGTACATGTTTTCTGCATTCTTCCTAAAAATGAAAGAGGAGAAAGAGACAGGGTAATGCCAGAGCCCAGTGAGCTAAGGAGCAACAAGCAAGCACACTGCCGACAGGCTAATCACCAGGCTGTTCTACAAGTGCAAAGGCTCAAGGACCACGTCCCCTTCCCCTAACTAAGAGACCCAAACTGAACCTCCTCATCCTCTCCCGAGCATCACTCAATTCCATAGTTTTCTGGGCTTGTGTTGTGTTCAGCTGAAAGCAGAGAGAAATTCATTAGGAAGAACGAAACACTCTAGCAAGTGAAAACTCCTTATTCTCGGATCCTCGCTTTCTTTTAACCACTTTCTGGGATAATGTTGGCTACTACTAAAGACTGAACATGTGAACTGATGATGGGAGACAAGTGGCCTCCATCTGAACTTATTTCTGAAGTCCTGTACATGGTCTCAGGAAGCTTTACATCGACACTGGGCCTTTAGGCCAAACTGGTAACAGGTGGGAGGCATCTTTCTCCTCTAGACCCTTCTGAAGAGTTTTGCTCTAAATTATAGAAAAATATCCTTTGGAATCACAGTCCAAAGAACCCTACAGAAAGCACCAAATATGGTTTGATCAGTGTGAACTTTGTTGGGACAAGGCATGCTACGACTTCAGTCATACAGTGCCAACCTTCTGGTAATCTCTCCAAAGGTTTGGGTTTCTCTTGCTCAATCCCTCACATAATTAAATGGGAAGGGAGGCAGAAATGCCGTCAAGATTGCTACAAGGTTGAGGCCATAGTACCATCTGGGCAGCACGCATACTGACACTCACGGTAAAGGGTTCCTTTTCCACAGCATGACCCTGCTTTCCTCTGCTTCATGGCCTCTCTGTCGAGCATCACCCCCGTTGTCCCCAATGACTGGCTGTACTTTGAAATAATCCATTTTCTCATCCCACGTCCCCAGCAGGACAAAGTGAACTTTTCCCGATGGATCTGTCACTTCCCCTGTCACCTGTAAGGATAAGAGCAGGGCTTTTAGTACAGATCACAGTCACTGTGGGCTAGCTTACCTGACTTGTGGAAACCAGTCCTGGTTAAATCCTGTTATGACACACACCATGGAGTCATCCAAATTATTTACATTTCCTTGAGATGCTTAAAATAACTGAGCCATGAGTTGGGGGGTTCATTGTAATTTTGTTGTATAGGAGTTTTTGGTGCAATGATATGCAGGAGAAGGCTGTGCCTGGTGCTCAGAATTACAGTATTTTCTTCTCTCCAGAAATCAGAAAGAGCCACAAACAGATTTAAACCCCTAACTATTCTTCACTCTCCCATCGAAACTCACAGCACAGTTAGTTCCACTGTGGGGTAACACACAACTCTCCCCCAGACTCATTCACAGGTCAGGCTGACCACGCCTCTTCCTGTAAGCCTTTTAGTCCTTCCTGTTTCCCATTTTCAGCCTGTCACTGCTCTTACTTTCTAACTTCTTTCTCATTAAAGAGAAGATGATTTAGTAATGCAATATAGTCTCCTTTCTTGCTGACTTTCTCCCTTCCCTCTCCTTTTTTTCAATATATACCGGGGGGGTGCCAAAAAAATGTACACATTTTAAGAGGTATTATCTATATATTACTTCTTGAAGTTGAATTGAATTATGGCAGCAATGTGTAGTACGATCAAAAGATGGAGTTAATCAAATGAATGCTAGCGTCATTCATTGTATTACAATTTTAATAGTTTTTCCTTTCTTAAAATGTATACCCATTTTCTTGGCAACTTCTGTATATATATTTAGATTATCCATCCATCCATCCATCCATCCCAGCCCCAAAGGTACTCTCTAAGGGACACACACTAAATAAAAAATTTGAATTCCAACTTCTCTTACCTTTCTTGCTATATCCCGAGAGAAGTAGCTATAAGGAACAAATTTAAGATTGCACTTGTCTCCTGTCTTGTGATTCACAATATCAATTTCACCAGACTACAATGAAAAAAATCATGCATTAGTTTTATTACAACTGGATGACTTGAATATCTGCCAAGCCCATGCCTCATAATTCTTTCCTTTTCAGTCTTAAATTCCGGCACTCCCTTGCTTTTTAAGATTCAAGTCTTAGCCAAATGTGAGAGGCTGTGGAATCCCTTTGCAACCTTGGTTTCCCAGGTTGGGATGAAGACCAATGACCTTTTTTTTTTGAATTGTGTGTCATATGTTAGGTGGCATGCTTTGACCTTCAGCACATACACGGATATTTACATAATTTACTTTTCTAAACCAATCCTCCACTAGTACCCTTCTGGAACTCTGCACTTAAATCAAAGTACTCTACTCACTATTTCAAGGCTGCAAACGGCAGGCCTTTCTGCACTTTATTCACTTCATTGTCTCCCCGTCTTTTCTGACTCTAAACCCCTCTTGAAGACACAGCTTAGTTCCCACACCTGCTTTTCTTGACTGCTCACAGTCCCTCTCTTCTCTGCCACCACTGTCATGAGAGCATATTGATAATTATATAGGTATTATCTTAGTAAACCTGTTATGCCACTGTATTTTGTTAAATACTTTTCAACTTACATGCAATTGTCACATCTCCAATGATACAACCTCTCTGTAAGGGACAATGTCTCATCTGACTTTGTATCCCTAGGACCCAGCAGCAGATGTCTGCCTGGTAGTAAATGTCTAATGAACAATGAGAAGATGAAGAGCAGGAGCCACGTTTGTTGTTTACTTGTATCCTTTCTAGTGTCCAACACAGTCCTGGTAGTCCCTGAACGAATGTTACACCTTGGTCATTTATAATAATTTGAGGTATAGAAACTCAAGGAGGTTGGGGTGGGGCTACAGCCTGAGAGCAATTCCTTAGGGGAAACAGATAAGCCGGTCACAATGGTCTGGGTTCACGTGCCCTAAAGACTGCAAAGACGTGCCTAGAAGGTATTCGGAACCTCAGAAGCACACTGGGCGCCTCTCTCACCTGGTCTATCCACAACTTGCCCACAATAATGTTGTGCACTGTTGTGGTGACTTTCTTCCAAGTGTAGTGGTGCCCGGTTGCGTGGAAAATACAGTGGATGCTACCTGGAAGCAGAGAGGGGCACACAAATTAAGCCACATATTAGGAAAAATAGAACCACGTTAGCTGGAAATCATGGGTTTTCTTCTTTCAATATTTCTTACTTTTAAAAGGAAAACAATGAGTCAAAAAGGATTTATAACCTTCTTAAGTATTGGAAGTGCTGATTGAATTTTTTCACTTGATTTTTAAATTTATGAATAAAACATAACTAAGCGATGACAAACACTGACAACTGATACAGCTTAGCTAGGAGGCAATATGGTGCAATTGCAGAAAAAATGAAAGCAAAATCTTCAATATTTTCGCCAACTGTGCCTGCCATACCAGCTGCAAAATTTATAGAAACAGTTCAAATCTGACACAGTATGAAAAAATAAAATTGCATTGTGGGAAGGAGCACACCTTGGCACTGGGGACCAGGCTCTATTTTCAGTAACTAGCCGTGTGACCTTAAGGGCCACTTATCTAAGGACCTTAACAATAAAATAGTAGTAGATAGAGCTGGGGCTTTGGACTCAGACAGGACTGGATTCAATCTGGGCTCCACTACTCATTAGATGTGTGACCCTGTGTTGTATAATAAAGGATCTGTCTGTTCTTTGTCCACGGTTCCTGGGAGGAAACCTCTCAATTCTTGGACTTTCCCAAACGACAGTAATGTCTTTGATATTCACGGGGGCCCTCAAAGTTTATGCCAATGAGCCATCTCGGTGGGCCCCTAGATAGGTACACTACCAAGATGACTCAGGATGAGGGCCAGCAGAAAGACCAAACATGTGATTAGTCATCTCACAGGGGTTGGACCTCCTGACCTTCTGGGAACAATATTCCTTTCCCTCCAGGGAGGGAAGGTGCCTGGATAGTGAGTTCAGTCATGTAGCCAATGAATCAATCAGTCATGCCTACATAATGAAACCCCAATAAAATCTCTGGACCATGAAGCTTGGTGGCACTTCCTGGTTGAACCCATCAGTGTGCCAGGAGGGTGATATGCCCCGATTCCATGGGGAGAGGGCATCGAAGCTCTATGTTCAGGACCCTCCCAGGCCTCAGCCTGTTTCTCTTCCTTTGGCCAGTCCTGATTTGTATACCCTTTATAATAAAACTGTAATAGCGAGTATAGTATTTTCCTAGTCCTGTGAGTCATTACAGGAAATTATTGAACCCAAAGGAGTTGTGGAAACCCCTGAATTTATTTATATTTCTTTATCCATCTGTAAGTAAACTTGGCCTAACCACATCTTGTTGTGCCTTAAATGTCTGTTTATTTGCCCAGTAAAATGTTTTAAACATAACAGGCACTCAGTAGATACAGTCTTCTCATGTTCCTATGAGTTAATCTCAAATGAACACCAAACCAGAACCAATGGTTTGAACAGAAATGACTGAAGATTCAAAACAATAAAAAATTTTAAAGATATATATATGACCTTTTTTATATATATGACCGTATATATACTCTATATAAAATATAGTCAATCCCAGTAATGGTCTAACTGTAAGCTCCCTCTGTACCCACTAGTGAAAAGAACACTAATTGTGGCTTAGGTGTGTCCTTCTTTTACAGAAGATTAAAGGCCCTGGTGGCTGCAGGAGCAGTGACGATGACGACAGCAGTGACATTAACAACAATACTAGCAACTCTGGCTGAGAGGAGTGCTGTGCACCAGACACTGTGCCATGTCCTCCTCATGCATTATCTCATGTAACCTTCACAACCATCTTCAAAATGTGTCCTAACTCTTGTGCTCCACGCCTCTTCCACCACCACTGCAGTCTAAATCGCCATCATCTCTTGCCTGAATCTCTGTAACAACTTCTTTTTTGGTCTCCCAGCTTCTACTTTTGCTCCCTTGAAGTCTCTAGTGAAAATGATCTTTTTTTTTTTTTTTAAGATTTTTATTGGAGAATTGGGTGGAAGGGGAACAGACAAGTTGTGTCCTTTTGTTCTTCAGTCTAGTTGTGGAGGACGTTGCTTCACTGGCCCAAGTTGGCACCATCATTGCACTCTTCCTGGGAGAGGCAGATCAGTCGCCGGCTTCTGGACAGCCGCTCATGGTGGCTGCTGGCCGCTCACGCTGGCTGCTGGCTGCACACGGTAGCCCATGGCAACCCACTGCAGCAAGGGCTGCAGCCTACGCCATCACCGGCGACTCAGGGCAGCCCAGCTCCAGGTTGAGCTGTTGTTCAGCATCTTAGCTGTGGAGGGCAGTGTCACTGGCCCTCATATGTGGGATCCGACCCGGGGCCCTCTGGCGTCCCAAGCCAGCTCTTAACCATCGCACCTCTCGGCCGGCCCGAAATGATCTTTTTAGAACGTGTCACGTCAGCTCACCACACTGCATAAACCTCTCGATGACGTCCCGCTGCAGTAGAACGAACACCCTCTGAACTCGTCGCCCTCGTCCCTTCTTGCTCACTGAGCCAGCTGCTGGGGCCTTATTGTCCCTCCAACGTGCTAGGCTTGCTCCCCGCTCAGGACTTTACCTTTGGGGTTCTTGCTGCCTGTTTAACACCCTCAAGATACCTTTTGCTTGGTGTCCTTTTGTTATTTAGGTCTCTGCTCAAATGTAACCTTTTCAGAGAGGATTTCCTTGACTACCCTACCCAAGGAACCACACACATACTCATTTCTCCAGTAACCTCTATCTCCACTTACTCTCTTTTCTTCACAGACTTACCACTATATAAAATTAAGTTATTTATATATTTACTTTGTTGTCTACTTAAGAAAAGAATGCAAGCTAAATAAGAGCGAAGTGGCTTCTCTTCACGGCTGTACGCACGGCACCTGGAATATTTTCTGGCATACAGTGGCACTTAAATTGATCTGTTGATGCCTCAGCTGCAGGCGCTGTTGTCCCCTATATTTGTTTCCTGTCACTGCTGGAACCAACTGCCACAACTTAGTGGCTTAAAACAACACAATTTATGCTCTTTCAGTTCTGGAGGTCAGAGTCTAAAATCAAAGTGTCAGAAGAGCTGTTTTCCTTCTGACGGGTCTAGGGGAGACTCCATTTTCTTGCCTTCTCCAGTGTCTAGTGGTCACTTGCATTCTTTGGCTTGTGGTCCCTTTCTATTGGGTTGTTGGGAAAGTCATGACGCATTTTTGTATTGAAAAACATAGAAAAATACGTCATGACTTTCCTGACGACCCAATAGCATCACTCAAACCTCTTGCTTCTGTTGTCACTGATTCTGATCCTCCAGCCTCCCTCGATAACAACCCTCATGATTATTTTGAGCCCACAGAATAACCCAGGATTATCTCCCCATCTCGAGATGCTTAACAAAACCACACCTAAAAAAGTTCCTTTCATTACATAAGTGATATATTCATTGGTTCCAGGGAATAGAATGTGGACATATTTGGAGGGAGGGGAGCCTACCACATCCCCATTTTACCACTGAAGACTCTAAGCTCAGAGAGGTTAAGTAATTTGCCCAAGGTCACACAGTTACAGAGTGCCAGAGCAGAAGTTAAAAATAAAACCAAAGCATCTGTATAGCCCAATATCATAACTCTTATGTCTCACCCTAACGACGTACCTATTGTTCTGTAGTGTTTCTTCCAGCTCACAGGGATAGTGGAAAAACAAAGAACGCCTTATGACTGCCTTCCTTTATATAATATTTGTGTCTTGAAAACTTGACATTATGTTAAAGATCTAAAAATAGAGCCATTTAAAATGTATGAAGGGGAAGATAGCCACTTGTAGAATGGTGGAATTAAGACTTCCATATGCCTGCTCCTCAATAAAATCAACAAGATCACTAACGAAAGTGATCAGAATCAACTTTTTTCAGAACTCTGGAAATTAACCAAAGGCTTACAATAATCCCAGAGGCATTTATTCAAGAAAAAATGGCGGAGGGCCGGCCGAGTGGCATGTTGGTTAAGAGCTGGCTTGGGGGGCTGGCAGAGTGGCGCGATGGTTAAGAACTGGCTTGGGATGCCAGAGGGCGCCGGTTCGGATCCCATGTATGAGGGCCAGTGACACTGCCCTCTACAGCTATGATGCTGAACAACAGCTCAACCTGGAGCTGGGCTCTCTTAGTTCAACGGCGACGGCGTAGGCTGCAGCCCCTGTGGCAGTGGGTTGCCATGGGCTACCATGTGTAGCCAGCAGCGTGTGACTGTGAGCAGCTGTCCAGAAGCCGGCGACTGATCTGCCTCGCCCGGGAAGAGTACAATGATGGTGCCAACTTGGGCCAGTGAAGCAACGTCCTCTACAACTAGACTGAAGAACAAAAGGACAGCAACTCGTCTGTTCCCCTGCCCCCAATTCCCCAATTGAAAAAAAATAAAAAAGAGCTGGCTTGGGACGCCAGCTCTGAGCAGCAGAGCCCCGCTTCGGATCCCACATGAGAGCCAATGACACTGCCCTCTACAGCTAAGATGGTGAACAACAGCTCGACCTGGAGCTGGGCTGCTGTTAGTCACCGGCGACAGCATAGGCTGCAGCGGGCTGCCATAAGCTACCGTGTGTGGCCAGCAGCCAGCGTGAGCTGCCAATAGCTGCTGTGAGCGGCCATCCAGAGGCCGGCAACCGATCTGCCTCACCTGGGAAGAGCGCAATGATAATATCAACATGGGCCAGTGAAGCGATGTCCTCTACAACTAGACTGAAGAACAAAAGGACAGCAACTTGTCTGTTCCCCTTCCCCGATTCCCCAGCGCTGTTCCCCTCCCCCAATTCCCTAATAAAAATCTTAAAAAGAAAACATTAAAAAAAAAAAAAAGAAAAAATGGCTGAATCTCAGTAAGAAAAATTAACTTTGTGGCAGGCATTTCAACTTGCTCTAATTCCATCCTCCTCTCCCCAGCTTGGCAAGTAGCTTTGAAAACCAGCAAGGAGCCTCACAAACACTTTTGGGGAGCTTCACGCTTCACCAGCAAGTATGAAGCTCCCCAAAAGCCCCATCCTCAAAGAATTGTCCTTATGTGACCTATGTGGTGGTTTCTTGTAAACTCCCACTCACAGGGCTTATCTTTATTTGTCCTGACTCAGCACCTAGTCACCTCAAACAGCCTTTCTCCCTGGGGCTATTATCAAAAACATCAGAGGCAAGTGTTTAACACAGCAGCTGCCTAAGGTGGTGATAATGGTTGGAGAAATTGAAGAAATAGCAGTTAGAAATTCCCCAAATTTGATGAACACATTAGTCTATACATCCAAGAAGCACAATGGACTCCATGTAGGATAAACTCGAAGAGCACCACACCAAAATCCATCAAAATCAAACTATTAACACGTTAAGCACCGTGTCAGTCACCAGTGACTGACGATATACAATTTAAAAAATTATATTCTTCTATTAGGAAAACTAATTTCACTTGAATCACTTTCACACGTTTCTTCTACTGACATTGTCACTGTTACGGGTAAAGAAAAAATTTTTAAACTGCACTGGAACACGAACCACAGAAAACTGACTGAAGAGAAAGCATATCAGTGAAATCGGATATCACAGGCTAAACGGAAAGAAAGACAAAACAGGCTTGGCGCTTTATGTGTTAAAAGACAAAGAGAAAATCTTGAAAGCAGTAAGAGAGAAGTGGTCCTTAAAATATGATTAGAAACCACTGTGGACAGAAGGCAGTGGGATGACACATTCAAAATGCTGAAAGAAAAAGACTGTCAAATCAAGAATTCTATATCCAGAAAAACTATTCTTCATAAACAAAGGAGAACTCAAGACATTCCCAGATAAACAAAAACTGAAAGACAGCATAGCTAGCAGATTTAGAAGGCATACTAAAGTCCTTCAGGCTGAAATGAAGGAACACTTGGCAGTAACTTAAATCTACACAAAGAAATAAAGAGACTAGTAAAGGAAACTACATTCAACTATGTAAAAGACACTATAAATGTATCCTTTGCTTGCAACTCTTCTTTCTCCTATATGAGTTAAAATACAACTGCATAAAGAAACAGTTATAAAGCTATGCTGATGGAATTATAATGTAAAAAAAAATAATTTGTATGAAAATAAAAGCACAAAGGAGGGAAAGAGGAATGGATACGTATAAGTGGCAATGTTTTTGTATACTATTAAAATAAGTTTTTATTAATCTGCACTAGATTAGAAGTTAATTGTAATAACTATGATAACCTATAAAAATACCTTTAAAAATATAATAAAAGAAATAACAAGAGAACTAAAATGGTAAAGTGGAAAAACATCCAAAGAAGGCACTAATGGAGGAAGAGAGGGACAAAAAAGACCTAAGATGTACAGAAAACAAACACCAAAATAGCAGATGTAAATCCTACCTTATCAGTAATTATAATAAATACAAATGGATTAAAGACTCCAATCAGAAAGACTTAGAAATTGGAAGGATGGATAAAATGTATGAGGGGAATTTTTTTACTACAGTACCACTCAGGGGCAAATTCAAGGAACTTGGAGCCCAGTAGTGTCACTGACACAGAGATTGACAGGCTGGGTGGTTGTTTTATTCATATTCCCAAATTGTGATTCTTCTTGGGCCAGAGAACTCCAAAACTATAAAATCATCTTATTTAAATGTATTTCTTTAAACCTCAAGGCTATCACTTAGTTCCAATATCCTGGAACTTGATGAGAAAATTCTTGTTTATCCTCTTAGCATGGTCTTCATCATTTTGTAAACTTCAATCATATTTTCTAAAAGCATTCTTCTTTCCAGATTACAAGAATTTGAACCTGTGTAGTCTGTTTTATAGGGAGACTCAGAACCCCTGCCACCACCTCAAAAAACCATCTATCTGCCTACTCACTCACAACCCTGTTCCTATATCTTTCTTCAGCAACACCAACTGGCTTAACAATTTACCCTCTCAGAGCTGAGTGCCACTGCAAATATGAAAATTTCACTGCATAACTCTCGTTCCAAGTCACTGATCCAAAAAAGTGAAATATAACCATCTCCAGGGCTAATGTTTGGAAAGCCCACTCTTTATCCTTCTGTATTCAGTGTCCTGTCACTATGCCAATACTTTGTTCAGTCTCCCTGTAAGGCCGATGTCTTTGTTTTGTTCACTTGTATTTTCTAAGCGCCCAGAGCCATGCCTGGCACAAGGTGGACCTCAGCGTGTAAGAGATGAGGGGACTTCAAAGACAACACAACCTAGTGACCGGAATCTTTACATAACCATAGGAATGGAATCCTATCATACTTTAACTCTATAAAAAATTAGATCACCACTAAGACCATGTTCATACAGTTATTTACCCCTCAAAGAGCTTTAGACTAGTCAAATTACAGAGAAATGTATAACACATCACTGGTAAGTTGGGTTTATTGCTATTGAGTTGTCGGAAAAGTCATGACACATTTTGGCAATGAAAAACAGAAAAATACGTCATGACTTTTCTGACAACACAATAGTTTTTAAATGTGTATACAACCTTCCTTAGAATTAAATATAATCCATCTCTTTAGAGATCCTCCAATGGCCTCTGAAACTCTCCACGGGTGAAAGTCATACCGCAATACGACCACTGAACACCCTAGTTCTGCAAATTAGGTGTCAACATCCCAAGCATTTATTGCTCTTAACCTAATACCAGGCGTGCCAAAAATGTATACACATGACCTGTATTCATCTTTTGTTATCAGTATATATCGAGCATTACAATTTTAATACACTTTTTTTCCTTTCTTAAAATGTGTATACATTTTTTGGCACCCTGTGTACTTACGCAATTATTAGCTCCAAAGATAATGAAGGAATTAGAACCTTTTTAGGTCCTCAGTAAAGATCAAGATCAAAATCACTTTGTCTCCTTTTCAACTAAGGGCCTTGTCCCTGTGTATATTAACCATGAAACGATAGTTAACACTCTAGTTTCTTTTCTCCTTTTGTAATTGCAAACAATCCTGGATTTTTTTCTGGCTAATGTCTAGTTTGCACTATTCCTGCTATGTTTTGTGTTTCTGAGAGAAAGAGGAATTTATTAAAGAAGGTAACTATACTGCAATAATCAAGCACTGCTATGCCGCATCAAAGACCAGAACCAGGAAACAGAAAGCCATCGGAGCTCAGCCAGCTACTGTCAGCTCTGTCTCTAGGGAGCTACTTGGTTTCTCCCTATCTGCTTTGTGTTTCTTTCTCTGTAGACCAGCATTCACTCTTCAGTACACACGTGGCCAAATGGGGCTTCTCTATTTCAATGGAGTATCAAGAATCTCTGCTTTACTTTTTGAATAATCTCATATCCCTTAAAGTTACAGACTCTCTAACATTGCATATTAGGATTGACCTTTTTGATCTTGGTGCAAAATTAACTTGTAATCCCATAAGATCTTTAAAAATAAAGTTTCATCTTACCTGGAGTTCAGCCATTACATAAATGATACCTGATGCACCCGGCAGAGGAAGAGAGGGGAGAAAGGAGAGGAGAAGGGGGCGGGGCAGCCGAGAAACCTAACCTTGTAGTAACCAGAATTTTATAGAGAGAACCTGATTTCTAGGGTAATGGAAGAATCAACATCAGTTAAGAGATATAATTTTTTTTCCATGTTAGAATTTATATTTTAAAATAGTACTGAAAATGCATTAAATATAGCTAAGGAGACAAAATAATGGAGACTGGATGAGTTCTTAGAGCCCCATGCATCCTCACTCGTTTGATAGCTGAGAAGTTAAATGACTGGCACAAAGTCAGCTGGAAGGTTGCCCAAATCAGACTTCCGGTCTCTTGACTCCTGAGTCAGTGACCTCCTCTATCATGCCGGAAAATCTCCCATTCCTGCAGCACTAACTCTTACAAAGACGGTGGCCTTACCGAGGGGCATAATGGAGAGGTATTTGCCTCGAAACTTGCTGGTGATTTTGATTTCCTGACGCAACGTCCAGCCATGTTTGGAGTCGGCATGGTGCGCAGCAGCAGGGGGATGATGACTCACCTTGAAGAAATCAGTGGTTCAAATTAAGAAGGAAGAAAGGAGAGGAAAAGATACTGACTATTAATTAATTGGTGATAAGCACCCAAAAGTCACACTTCTCAACAGCAGGTGACCACCAGGGCCTCCAGTGCAGAAGCCAGTTGGGCAGTAAGGGCGACAGGGACTGGAATTTCTGCAAACATAACGCCCAGGGGAACAACCAAAAAAACACGCCTTTGACCAAAAAGGACATGTGTCACCGTCCCAAGGCGCCGTTACCTGTTCACAGATGGATCGGTACCCATTCTCCTCTAATCGGTCCAGTTCAAAGGTCTCCCCAAGTAGTGGGTTGAAGGGCTTGCTGGTACGGAAGACAGTAGTGGAGTAGGAGGACACGGTGAAAGCTGCAACATAACAGAGCTGTTCTAGAGAGTTCTCACATTTTGCAGCTCGGTCTAACAGCTCATGGTATTCCAGATCTTCAGTGAGGCGCTGGAGCATGGATAAGGGCTCATTAAAGTTCACCTGTCAGGAAAAGAACAGATATAAAAACTTAGCCCACAAAGCTACAAGAGATAGCTTAATTTTTGCAGGTGAAGAAACATACTGAGATGTTGAGATGAAAAAGCAAATCACTGGGAAGAGAGGAGGCCTCTGAGTAGAGCAGCTCTAAGGTCTGTAAGCAATCCGTTCTCCCAGGTCAACTGCTCACGTCCGTGAGTGGTTCATACCACCAGTTTCATCTCTTTCACTAACTATAAGCTCTATGAGATGGGATCATGCCTCTCCTATTCATCGCTGCATAGGCAAGCATCATCAATGCCTTGCACATAGGAGAACACATCAAACAGGCACTGAATGAATGAATAAGGGAGGAAGTGTATTTTAGCACAGGTATACCCAGAGAGGAAGTTAGGTATTTAAAATTCTTGAGGAAGGAAAGAAAGGGCAGTAATTTTTCAGTACAGGCATGTCCTGGCTAGTGAGACGAAAACACTATTAAGTTCAGCTTCCACTCCTGGAGTAGATGATTGCTAAGTGTCAGTTCACTTCTACTTCCGGCCAGGATTCTGATTTCTTAGCTCTGAGGCTGGACAGCTGGTTTTAGGACCTGGAGTGCTCAAGATGGCGGCTGACAGGGGGCTGTGAGTGCTTCTACCTTTCAAGATTCAGAGCCAACTTAGGGCACTCAACCACTGGGTATCTGTGTGCTTCTGTCGGGGAGAAGATGTTCACTCAATCATTCACTCACTTATTCATTCCACAAATATTTACTGAGCCCTCATGTGTGCCAGACCCTAGCTACTCACTGCACATAGAGAATCGAACTAAAGAGACATTGTTTCCTGCCTCCCGCCCCCGCCCTTTAAAAAAAGAGTTACCTTCTAAATGGACTATTTGGAATTTAGGATGACATTAGTATTTTTTAAAATGTTATAAAAAAGGTGAGGTTTCCAAGCTAGCCTATAAAGCTTATTTAACCTGCACAGGCCTGGATTTCACTAGCCTGAGTTCTGAGTCCAGAGAACAGAGGAAGGAAAAAAAATTTCCTTTCTGTTGAATGGCGCTGGTCTAAAACAACATTTCAGTTAAATAAACCAAACAAAACCACTTTTCTTTCCTATGGTCCCACCTTTTTCTGCATTTTTGTGCAACTTCCTACCCGCCAATCCCTGAGCCACATACTCCCCTAATATTTACTGTCCTCTCAATTATGAAATATCTTGTAATTTTCATTATAACAATTTTGAAAACAAAGTATGAAGGAGAAAATTTACTTGAAATGCCATCACCCAAAGATAACCACTAAGATTTTCATGTTTGTTTCTAGGCATTTGTACATTTCTAAAAAATAAAAAAATATACTACAGCCTGCTTTTGCTCTGAGGAACATACTGAGCATTTCTTTGTGAAAATTTCCCAAGTAAGACAGAAACACAGGACCGACATTAGAATATCTCTCTTACTGGGAAGTAGGAGCTATCGCCCCTCAACCAAAAGAGTGTGCCACACTCTGGAACCATCTTGACACTGAGAGAAGCACATTATAAGAAAAATGCACGCTGAGGGGCAACAAACTGATAAAACTTGAATCAACAGTTTTTTTTAAAGAGGGTGCTTATTAACATGCCAGCAAAACCTACTATTGGCAGAATTTCAGGCAACATTAAGTAATATTTCCATACATTTTGAGGAAAACGGGATGGGTGGTGTCCCCCACCGAAGACATATGAGCGCCTGGGACTAGAATCAGCGCATCCTTATACTGTCACTGCTTTTTACACACGCAGCCCTGCCCTCCAACAACCGCTCCAGGAACCACAGCTTCTCTAAGAGCGCCAAGCTTTTTGTATCGTTCATCTTATCACTCAGAGGACTAAGAGGCAAACAAATGAATCTGCGAATTAAAAATGGAAGAAAGCAGGGAATTAGTTATATACCTGATGGAGAGTGGGACAGCCAGAAAAGACAACCTAGAGATTAGCAATAGCAGGAAGCCGTAATCATGGGTAAGCTAGAGAGACAAAATACTACCGCAGCCCAGAGGCAGAGGCACCCAGCAGAAGCTGAGACCCCTGGAAGGACCCTGGGGTGTCTCCCTTCCTCCCTGCTCCAAATGTCTACTGGTGCCTTGTTCTGGTGGAGCCAGCCAGCTAGACGCCCGCAGACATGGAAGCCCAAGAAACACCGCCTAGAGGGACCAGCTTTCCTGTGACGCAGCACAGAGCAGGGGAAGGGCGAGGACTGGATCTGAGGCAAACAGGCACAGGACTGCACATTCCTAGGGGCAAAATCAACAAGGAACTAAGGGGAAAGGAGGACGGAGAGGTCACCTAGGCTCAAACTGTGTTTAAGCAGGATCCGCATTTCCGAAGCAGCAGAGGCCTGCCTTTCCAGACTACCTTCCCAGGGCACTTCCTTCAAGGCGCCAGGAAAGTGGGGTGTCTTCTCAGACCCCAATTATTTTATGTTTCTCCAGTGTGTTTACTCATGGCCTTTTCTTGTCTGAAGGTCAAGATTTTTCTAACAAAGCTCCTACACACTTACATATAAATCTATTTGTTTTCCGAGACCCACTTAACTAATTATGTCAACATTTGCTGAATGGTATACACATGCCAGGCACTAGTGAAGCACCAAGGTTATAAAGACCACTAAGACAGCCTCTGCCCATGAGGGGCGGTCTGTGGCGAGACAGAAACCACACACTGGGCCATAAGCCCCAAGAGGGTAGAAGGTAGAATGCTTTCTGTGTGTCTGCATGCCACGTACGTACCCAGCTGTGGGCAGAACCACCCTCCACACTATCGATTCTTTCCTTTTTCTACAAGTAATAGAACCCCCGATTTTTAACTAGGTGAAGCCACCCAGAATAGAAATCTTCATCTCCAGCCTCGTCCTCAGCTTGCTGTGGCCATATCACTAAGTTCTGGCCAAAGAGATTAGAGTGAAAATGGTTTATGCGGCTTCCAGGAAACACTCTTAAAAGGCAGAGGCATGGGCTGGCCGAGTGGCGCGTTGGTTAAGAGTTGGCTTGGGACGCCAACTCTGAGCAGCAGAGCCCCGGTTCG